CCAACTATTTATTTACAGGGGGGAAATGTCTGGACCAAACATAATTTCTAATATTGGATTTTCCCCCTTACCAGAGGGAGCCCTCTTGTTAAGCTGTTACCATGGCAGTTCCACTGCGCTGTACAGCAGAAGCCAGTAGGGCAGTACGGCACAGCAGGCTGTATATTAACAGAACACACACCCCAAGGGGTGTTAGGGGTGTCGTACCCCCACAGTATTTTTTTCCAAACAGTAAGTCATCTGTGTACCAAGTTTGGTTGAAATTGCTTGAGACGTTCCAGAGTTATTCTGGAACATACACACACACACACACACAGACACACACTTGTTTTTATATAGATAGATAGATTATGTATTTTTTTAAATTGTAAGCTACACAGAGTCAGTGATTGAGATGGCAGCTATATAAATTGAATGAATAGATAAATAAATAAACTTGCTAAAATAAAAGATATTTGCCTCTCATTCTGACGTTTATGCAGCTACTTCATCCAGCCATCACACAATTAAACTGATTCCAAAAGCTGCTTACCGAGACCTCTAACATGAAGTAAACCAGAATGCCTTGGTTCCCACATTTCACTCAGCCACAGTGAGCTGTATAACTCCAACCAGCGTCATTTCTAAACTATGATTTAGAGTTAAGCATCTTGGTTGATGATTTAATAAACCATGGTTACATATCTGCCGTCTGCCATGGTAAGCATAGCAGATATGGAAACCAAGCTTTTGACTCAGAAGGAAAAATAAAAATGCACATAAAATCTTGCTTTATCTAGTAGACATATAATAATCCCAAGGATTTTATTGCATCTATCGTTTGGGGCACATTCATGACGATGTTATCAAAATGCAGGTACCTCCATTGTTCCCAAATTCATCTAAATACATATTTTCTGCTTGTCCTGATTAACATCTCAAAAGCCTCAGACACATCTTTTGTTTGCTTCAGATTCTCAAATTTGATTGATTGGTTGATGATGTGCCACCAAGTCTCTAAGGGATTCTTAGTGACCACAAAAAAATTTTTTCACGATGTTCAGAAGACACTCCATAAATGACTGCCATTATAATTGGTACAAAAGAATGTGAAATGACATTTGCCTAGTAGATTTTTACTGGTATATCAATCCCATGCTTTAGGAACCTGAGGCTCACAATTCAGAACAAATTTAAGAAGAAAAAAATAAAGCAGTTCTGATACAAGCTTTCACCCAGCCTACAAAAAAATCTAGATGCAGATATGTGAAATGAGAAAACCCTTTTTGTTGTATAAGTGCATACACATAAAACATGGAGAGAGATGGGAGGATTCAATGTCACGACGATACGGACGTGCGGTCTCGATGCTCCGAGACCACAGCCAATACTTTTGCTTCTGGATGGTCAATCGGACCTAAACCGTCCTGAAGAGACGGTGAACAGGAAGAATATGTCTTGCTGACCTCAGGGACATCGCAAAGTCCCTGATTGATGCAAGAGAAGTTCTTNTGAACTTTCAACTGGGTGGAAAACCCAGGAAGCTTTCAGATTCGGGTTTTCCACAGATGTGCCAATATGTCTCTCTTAATAAATTGGAAGTTTGAGGAAAGCTATGCCTTGGACTCTGATTTAATTTTGGATGATATTTGGAACGCTGACACAAAGTTTTGTTATGATTTCACTCTTTCTTTCGCTCTCTCTCTCTCTCTCTCTCCCTCCCTCCTCTAATTTTTCTCCAGAGCAACTGCCCTATGAACTTAGTTGTATGAAATGATAGTGCCTGGCCCAAAATAACTCACTGAATTTCTATGTGTGATATGAATTGAACCTACACTTCCAAGTTCTAATCTGATCACTACATCATACTGGCTTATAAAGCAAATAAAATGAAACTCTGAAAATTATTCCTATTCAGCAGGGGGAAGGGGGTGTTCAAAAATGTTAGCAAGGGGTTCTCTGCCCTGTTGTCAGGTAGTCGTGACCTAGTCGGCCTCCTGCAGCATGCTGGGGTGGTGTTTTTGCTCTCCCCAGACTCTGAAGGCCCTCTAGAGGCTGCAACAGGTGCATTTCTGGCCTTCCCGAACTTCCTTAGGCCCATTTTTCACTCTCCCCAGGCTTCTGTGCATGTCCTGCACTTATCTGCACCCAAACCGGGCCATGTGGGAAATCCTGGGAGGGGCGAGGTGGGCAGGGCCAGCCAGGAGTGGGATTTAGGAGTTCTCCGACCTGCACAGAATCTTAGCTAGAGGTTCTCCCAAACCCCTGCGGACCCCAGCAGCCCACTCCTGCTATTCAGGTCTATAGCAGAAATATCACCAAGATTATAGCAGTAGTTTCTAAGTTAGAAATAAAATAATATAGCCAAAAATTATACGGAATGTCTTTTGGTTCTCTCTGCTGGAAAACCTCAAGTGGTTATCCCATGACATTGGATGGATCAGCCAGGTTCCTCTCTACCATCTCCCTCTAAGGCATCAGAGAGTACAGGCATGATTCCACCATGTTCCAAAGGAGAGAGTTCACAGTGTGTACATATACTGGATTGATTTACTGAAGAAATTCTGAAAATAGGACACTCACTGAGAATTTAACTTGGCAGCCTTCCTCTCCCAGGTAACACAGATCCCCAGATACATTGGTCTCCAGCCAGAGATGTTCGCCATTTATTGCATTTTCCTGGAAGGACAGATACACAGATTGCTTCTCAAACAAATTCGTAGCATCAGGTTTTTTGGGATCTCGTTAATGCTATGCTTTCATAAATTAACTACTTAACACGTTTACATTGAAATAAATTATCTTATTGACTATGTGACTACAGCATTAACAAGGTGATTTAAGAGTTTTAAAAAAGACACATACTAAAAAATAATCAGGCTAATTCTAATAATATATGTCACTACTTTTTTAAAAGAAAAAAATATATGTTAATATTTCCATGCCTCCCAGGAATAGAATAGAATAGAATAGAATAGAATAGAATAGAATAGAATAGAATAGAATAGAATTCTTTAATGGCCAAGTATGACTGAACACACAAGGAATTTGTCTTTGGTACATATACTCTCAGTATACATAAAGAAAAATAAATCAGAATACATTCATCAAGAGTCATAAGATACAATACTTAGTGATAGTCATAGGTTACTAATAAGCAATCAAATTATACTAGGAAACAAATAAAACAATATATATTTTCAGGATACAAGCAACATGGTTATAGTCATAAGTGGAAAGAGATAGGTACTAGGAAAGAGATAGATACTAGGAAGGAAAAGAATAATAATAGTAATATAGTCTTAGTAGATAATTTGACAGTATTGTGGGGNCCGGATTGTTGGGGGCAATGTGCTGACTCTGTAAACCACTTAGAGAGGGCTGAAAGCCCTATGAAGCGGTATATAAGTCTAACTGCTATTGCTATTGCTAATAAAAGAAAATGTGGAACAACTGAACAATGATTGCAACCTAATATAAACATGTATTATTATGAGAAATACATGTTGATTGAATGTAGTAATTATGATTAACTTTATTAGTTTTATTTGTATTAGAATGTATGACACCCAGGTGCCACACTGTTCATGCACTGATTTGATACATTTATAAAAGGGGGGGGGGGCTTAAAGAAATCAAAACAAAAGAAAATTGAACCAATGTGGTTTTTTAGAACTTGAAGTTTCTCTACCTAGCAATTTTTTAAAATATGCATTTTGATGACACAAACACACATTTGCAACGTAGACTAGCGTTCACAATTAAGGCATCCCTTCATGCAATTGACAAAATCAGCTATTGAAAATAAAAGCCTATGACACAATGTATTCATTGCTCTTTCATGTGCCACAAATCTATTTGTTTTTGGTAATCAAAACAAAATAGAATCAAACATGGCTCCTTGGTGATGTGTACAAATTACCAGAATGATTGCTTCTTTTTCGTAAATAAAAAAAAAACCACTGCCTTCTTGCCTCCTCCACAAAGCTTATACAACATTTATATGTAATAGAAACTTGTATTTTCTTTCAAATCAATTAAAAATCAGACTCTGTTTGCAGCACAATAAAAGGCCCTGATTTCTGCCATGAGGTTTCATCAGGAAAAGGCTAGTTTGTGACATTATACTCAACCTGTTCATCACTAAGCAAAAAATAACAATAATGTACCCAAAACTAAATTATTCTTTAAAATATCACAGGATATTGTTCTCCTTGCAGGAAATTGAATCTGGTTACTCTCCTACAGTTTTAAGTATGTAGAGATTCTCAGTCATCCAGGTCATGGTTGTCTCAAAGGTGCTTTTTCAGGAGACAACTGGACTTTCTTGTTTTTTTCTTTTGAAGATGTTTCACTTCTCATAGAGCTCTTCAGCTGTAACAGGAATAGTGGGGAATGAAAGGATTTATATTCCTTGCAGACAGCTGGTAATCTACATCCTTTTAATGACCCTCTAAAGTGACCCTCCTAAAGGATGCAGATTACCAGCTGTCTGCAAGGAATACAAATCCTTCCATTCCCCACTATCCTGTCAAAGTTGAAGAAGCTTCTTGGATGAGAAGCAAGACGTCTTCAAAATTAAAAACAGGAAAATCCAGTTGCCTCCCGAAAAAGCACCTTTGGGTCTCCTATAGTTGATTGCTACCAGAAAATGTATAAGAATATCCTTTTCATATTTGCTGATGAATATAGAATAATCACAGTAAAGAAATCTAGCATTTACGTTGTAAAACAAAACCGTATTTTTCAGACTATAAGGCGCACCTTTTTCCCTCAAAAAAGAGGTGAAAATCTGGGTGTGTCTTATAAACTGAATGCAGCATTTTTGCCCTCCCGAAACCCTGCCTCCTTTGCAAAAATAGCTATGCATAGCGTCATCACGGGACATATTGGAACCTTTTCCCCTTTTGCTAAACCAAGTGGGGACAGGGACAGCCCGTGACACATCCGGCCCATGGGCCACGAGTTTGACACCCCTGGCCTATATGGTCTGCTCTTCAATATAAAGTTGTCTGTCCTTGAGCCAGTGGAAGATAGTATAAGTTAATTAACTTAACCAATATTAAATTAACATCCAGTTAGCTTTTGTATGTGAGGAGTATCGATACCTTGCCCATTACTTTCTATACTCTGACCAAATAAGAGGTGCAGGGGAACATCATCATTTACAGCAGCCAAAAGAAAAATGGCAATGGTATGTGAGAGTGACCTTGGGAAACAAGAAGAAGAGCCACAGACTAGGCAACAGTCAGATAAGAGGAAGTTGAGCCCCCAGAAGGAATGGGAGCATGGCAAACATCTCAGAAGGTATCCTCCTTAGTTTCTTGGATTGCACAGGTGAGAGAGGAGAGATGTATTATAAAATTATGTTAATTAAACTTACAATAAAGTTAGTGTCAGGCCTGCAGTCATATTCCTTTTAGGATCTTTGGCTGCCACACTCTCTATTATTTTACTATGCTGGGATAATTGGGAGGGGGAATAGTAAGGAGTAGAATTGTAGAATGTGTTGTTGTCAAAACAAAACATTCCTTTCTAGAAGCCCAAGGTCATTCTTTGTCTCCGCACCTCTGCACCTGACCGGNAAAGCTGTCAAGTTTGAACACCCCTGGGGTTTTTTTCCTAAAGGGTTAGGGGTGCAAGGGTCTTGTAACTTGACAGCTTTAAGACTTGCGTGCTTTAAATGCCAGAGATTCTGAGCCAACATTTTGGTTGCTGAGCAAGAGCGTTGTTAAGTGAGTTTCACCACATTGTAGAAGTTGGCCACACCCATCCAGTCACATGGCCAGCAAGCCACTCCCACTCTGTCACATGGCTGGCAAGCCACTCCCACAAAGCAGGCCACACCTACAAAAGAAGTTCTAAAAAAATTTGAAACCCACCACTGGTGTATACCTACAAATACACACAAATAAATATGAATGCACATCAAACTGTGATACATTGCACAGAACTGACATTTTGGCTTCCACTTCAAAAAAAGTCACAAAAGATTTTTATGCTTCACAACTAAATGGTATCTGATAACAAATTGCTTGCAGATCACCTGTAAAGTAACCTTTTAAAACTTACTTTCAATATCCCTAATTGTTTAAACTGCTGAGTTATTAAATGCTTTCCTTCTATTGATTGTTCTTGTTAAAAGGTAACTCAGCTAAATGGCAAATTTAATAAGACTGCAAAAACACTTTAGCAGGAATAACCAAAGTCACTCATTCCTTTTTAGTCCAATAAAAAAATATGCAATAAAAGATTTCTGAAAAATAGGAAAGTTTGCAGCTACTATGTAACCCTGATTTAAAAAATAATTTAGTTTTTTTATTTTTAAAGTAACATCAACCAAACAGTTAGCTCATTGCCACTCCACTGTTTAAATCAGAAAATACCAAAGTCAACCTGTGTTGATCTTCTTCCTGTCAATCCATATTCACATTCTATAGATCTATTCATAAAATCTGAAAGTTTAAATAGATTTATATAGATTTACTTAGCTGCATAAGCTAAAAAGAAGTAGATTTCTTTCCTGCATGAATATTATAATAATTCAAATAAATGTAAATAGAAAATTTGCTTCTATTTATATTTATTTGAAATTTCAAATCTGTTGAGTTGTTGTTGTTTTTTACACATTGGTCATTTGACTTCATGATTCCTATTAGCCTAGCACTTAGATGGGAGTTTAATGGGAGCTCACTCCGTTATGTGGTGCTAGGGATTCGAACCCCCGAACTGCCGAAGCTTTCTGATCACTAAGGTCAGCGTCTTAGCCACTGAGCCACCGCTTCCCTATTATTAAATTTACACCTTGTCATTTTCCAAAAGGGCCCAAGATGGCTTATAACACTAAAACAAAATATATTATATAACCATTACAGGAAAATCAATATTATTAAAATCATTGCACTGGAGATAAAAATATGGAGAGGTTGCAGGGAAAGCAGGCAGGAGGAAGAAGGGAAGAAAGTTAGATTGTACGAAGCATGCCACAGAGTTTAGGATTAACTCAAACCTTAGTTTAATTTTCATTGGCAATGAAAATGAAAATGATTTTTTCTGATTTATTTTACAGTTGTAGACATCCAACCCAAAAGCTGTGATGTTCTCTATCATTAGATAAAGTAAAGGCAAAGGTTCCCTTCGCACATATGTGCTAGTCGTTCCCAACTCCAGAGGGCGGTGATCATCTCCATTTCAAAGCTGAAGAGCCAGTGCTATCCGAAGATGTCTCCATAGTCATGTGGCCAGCATGACTAAACGCCAAAGGCACATGGAAAGCTGTTATCTTCCCACTTACTTGCATTTTTACATGCTTTCAAACTGCTAGGTTGGTAAAAACTGGGACAAGTAACGGGAGCTCACTCTGTTACGCGGCACTAGAGAGTCAAACTGCCGAACTGTCAACCTTTCTGATTGACAAGTTCAGTGTCTTAGCCACTGAGCCACTGTGTCCCTCTATCATTAGAAAACCTCAAAGAATTTATACCTAAGTTTTCAAGTTGAACTCCAAGGAGACTTAACCCTAACCATAAATTAGAATAATTTTCCTCGGAAATGAAATTTCCCCGTGTATTTTATTGGAAGCCACAAAGAAATCCAAATGAAAAACAGTCACAGTCATTTTTCTTAAAGAACCTCTAAGGAATTTTAAAAAGGCATATTAATTCTCAAATTTGCATCAGCCCCTCCAAATGTGCTTTCCCAGTAAATTAAGAAAACAACATCCATAATCCATTTTCCTATGTTGGACTGTTGATGATTGCAATTGAAGCCCAAAATAGTTATCCCAAAACAGATGGCCAGTACTATGGGCAGTGATGTGTTTTTTATCATTTCATTTCCAAATCTTTCAATATGAACAGCATATTGGGAATTTAAGTGAATTCTCAGCACTCAATCAAAAATATCCTGAAACAAGGGAACCAATTATTATCTTTAATCTGCCAAAATTAAAATCATTCCAGTTAGTTTCTAATATTTCTTATGATGAGGCTCTCCTACCCTAATGTGATCCTTAATCCTAGACCAGGGGTGTCAAACTCAAAGCCCATGGGGCTGGCCTGGAAATATCAAAGGTCCAGCCCACAGGGCCTCTGCTGGCTAAAATGGGCCACATGCAGCTGCCCCACAACCCCTTTTCAATACAATACAATACAATAGCAGAATGGGAAGGGACCTTGGAGGTCTTCTAGTCCAACCTCCTGCCAAGGCAGGAAACTCTATACGGTTTCAGACAAATGGCTATCCAACATCTTCTTTAAAACTTCCAGTGTTGGAGCATTCACAACTTCTGCAGGCAATCAGTTCCACTGATTAATTGTTCTAACTGTCAAGAAATTTTA